CACAATACAGAAGCCTGATGATGGCAGATGAGATTCTGCCGAAACGTTGCTACAACTTTAAAAGCACAACTATAATGACATGGGAAAATACCTGAACAAAGCTGAATACCATACATGTAAGTACCCGCGAAAACTTATATATAGATTTTCATGGGTACAGGTATGTAGGTCTAGGTGTGTTTGGGTCTTTTCCTGTGTAAGATTAGGAGCATCTTGGCGACGTTACGGCGAGGTCCCACTTGCCATTCTCAGGCTGGTGCTTTCGGCTTCGTGCCGGTGCAAGCAGTGTGTGATCGGAGCTGCCGTCTCTCTATAAATACTGGTGGGGGGGGGGGCTGGTGTGCTGGGCTGGTTGGCTGTGCTGCTGCCTCTTGATTGGTTGATGGAATTGATGTTGGTATAATGGGCTGGGCAGCCACATACACTGGACAAATCAACAGGAGAATAAATGCACGCATCGCAGAACACAAAAACGCAGTCAGAAGAGAAAAAAATACTTCCTCCCTCTTCCAGCATCTTAAAGCCACAGGACATGAAATTAATTTCAAAGGAACCAAATTAATATCCAACACTGAACACTCCAGCAAGAGAATGATCAGGGAAGCCATCAAGATAGAGAAACACCCCCATAACATGAATAAACGGGACAATACCTCCCACCTACCAGACATCTGGAAGCTAGCCCTCACCAACAAACGAGTCCCATCCACAAAAACCAACACCAGACCCAAAACAACGTGGGACAACACCACCAATCCCCCTCATCAGACCCAGGCCGAAGCCCATCCTATAAACGAAGGACAATCACCATCCAGAAAACAGACCACAGCTGCTTTGCCAGCTGTAGCACCCCCAACCCCAAAACCAAACAAGCTGACACACACCAAGAACACAGACCCAGACCCCAAACTTGAAGTCAGACTAAACCCAGAATGCTACATCACAGCTACCCACTCAGGACATCACATCAGAAAACTCAGGAAATTACATCACAAAACTCAAGAAGTTGCAACACAGCAAATGACCCAGGATATCATAGCACAAGACCAAGGATACCACAGCAATAAGTCTCACAAGGTCATCACACAACCCATTACCCAAGCCATTACTACACAGGAGGCTAATGGAAAAGAGATCAAAACACAAACGACCCAGGAGATTACAACGTAGGACCCAGGATACTACAACAAAAGAACTTGCAAGCCCATCACACAACCCATTACCCAAGCCGTTAAAACACGAGAGGCTAATGGAAAAAAGATCACTACAAAACAAATGACCCAGGAGATTACAGCACAAGATCCAGGATATCTCCACTACAAAACTCACAAGGCCATCACACAGCCCATTATACCAACATCAACTCCATCAACCAATCAAGAGGCAGCAGCGCAGCCAACCAGCCCAGCACACCAGCTCCCACCACCAGTATTTATAGAGAGACGGCAGCTCCGATCACACACTGCTTGTACTGGCACGAAGCCGAAAGCACCAGCCTGAGGATGGCGAGTGGGACCTCGCCGAAACGTCGCCAAGATACTCCTAATCTTACATGGGAAAAGACCCGAACACACCTAGACCTACATACATAAATCCAAACCCAGTCTAAATTACTCAAGACTTGAACTGGCAAACAAGCATCAAATCTGAACTAAAACTATATTATCCTATTAAAAATGGCTATGAAGCAAAGGATTTTCTTCAGAATAGGTCTACAATAAAATATGATACTCCGTATGTAATTGACATTTTAAAGCCTCATATTGCACTATGCTGTTAGTTTATGGTCATGGGGTCAAAAGTCAGATGCCTGGCAAATGGCTCATATTTATGATGGCTGCAGTGTCCTGAGATCATGTGATCAACTTTTGCAACCTTCTGAAGAGTAAAGTCAATGGGAAAGCCAGATTCGCTTAACAACTGTGTTATTAATTTAACAACTGAACACGGCTTTCTGTGTGGCTTTTTTATTGTTTTATTACAATGATATTTACATTGCCTAAGAGTCTGGGTGCCGCACGAACAATATAAATGAAGTATCGAACAACCACCTCAATAAAACTTAGTTAAAATCTTAAACAAAATAAAACCCCAAATCAATAATGGTCCCCTAATACAACTAAGTCTCAAAAATCTGTTTAAAAAGCTTTTTAACATCTTCTTGAATGCCAGAAGTAGGGTGCACTGCACTACGTAAAGTGTACCACTAAGGCAGCCTATTTTCTGGACACTTATACACTCTGGTACTGTGCTCCATGTGGCTTTATAGATGATAACCATCACTTTGATTTGGGCATGGAAACTTACTGATAACCAGTGCAGTGATCAAAAAATAGATGTTTAACAGTGGGTATTCCTTAAATACTGCCTGGCTGTTAGAACTGTAGCTTCCAAGTCATCTTTAAAAGCATACTTTCTTATGAAAGTCCTACTGAATTATGTTAAAAGAATTACAGATTGTTGGGACGCAGCTGCCAAGAGCCATGCAAAGCCTTCAGTGTTGGGGCATATTAAAATCAATTTCTAAAGTAGCTTTTTCATATTTAATTTAAGTGAAATTTAAAGCAGAATTTCAACATTCTTAAAATGTTTTATTAATAATGAACAGAGGTCAAATATATGTAATGATGAATGATGAACTGTTCTAGTTGCCAATCGAAAGGGAGAAATTCACAAATCTAAAAAAATGTAAAGACCAGACCAACCAACCAACATAATTAAAACAATTTAAAAGTTCGTGGTAATTCTCTTCCTAGAACATCATGGCAAAAACATTATCTAAAGGCCCACAACAATCACTGGAGGCAGTTCAGCATTGAAAGAAAAGAGATACCAATGTAAGATGCCATGTGAGAACAGTGGCAATGGCCGGAGGATGGAAAGGCACTGGGAAATCCAGGGAGACTAGAATACAATTTCAGGATCTTGGCAGAAACATACAAAAGCCACTACTGAGGCAAACAAAGCTGAAACATTGCTTAAGTCCTAAGAATCAAAGTAACATTCAGAAGTGGAATAGCCAACACTTTAGAAAATAGGCTCAAGATAGGCCCTATCCAACAAAATTCAATTCAGTGGTGAGAAAAGTAAGGTTAAGCAAGAAAAACCAAATGCACCACTATAGAATAGGTGATACCTGGCTCAACAGTCATAATTTGAGAGGGGTTTAGGAGTCCTAGTGGACAACCATTTTAAGTACAAGCCAGCAGTATGCTGCAAGTGCAAAAACAGCCAATGCAGCCTTAGGCTGTATCAACAAAGGGGTAGTATCAATAGGGGTGACGTGTTAGCAGTCTTCCAATATTTGAGGGGCTGTCACAGAGAAGGGGGGGTGTCAATCTATTCTCCAAAGCACCCGTGGGCAGGACAAGAAGTCATGGATGGAAACTTATTAAGAGAAATCCAACCTCAAACTAAAGAGAAATTTCCTGACAGCTGGTAACAATCAGTGGAACAGCATATTTCCAGAAGTTGTGGGAGCTCTGTCACTGGAGGTTTTTAAGAAGAGATTGGACAGCATTTGTCTGGAATGATATAGACTCCTGTTTGAGCAGGGGTTGGACTAGAAGACCTCCAAAGTCCCTTCCAACTCTCTTATCTACTCTATACAAGTGAATATATCATAAGAGTCACTGGTGGAATTCAAAGTTTTTCACTACCCATTCTGTGGGTGTGGCTTATTTGGTGAGCGTGGCTTGTGGTCATGTGACTGGGTGGGCATGGCCAACTCAATGTCACTCACTTCAAGGGCTGCCTCACCTGGCCCCTCCGCTCCCAGCCATTCCTTGTCACCCAGCCTCAATTTATCTATAGTTTTGTAAAAATGTTGTTCACCTTTTTTGACTTTATTATCTGCATACTATAGATGTACTTTCATGGACCACTGAAAGGAGGAAATGGCTCCAACGCTTTACTCAAGAGTGTGATAGGCAACAGGCTTTTAAGGGGCTGCCACAAAGAAAGGGGGACAATGTATTTTCCAAAGAAGCAGAAGGCAAACCAGAAGCAATGGATGGAAACTGAACAGAGAGAGAAGCAACCTAAAACTAAGGAGAAACTTTCTGACAGTGAGAACAATTAACCAGTGGAACTGCCTGTCTCCTGAAGTTCTGGGTGCTCAATCACTGGAAGTTTTTAAGAAAAGACTGGAGAGCCGTTTCTCTGAAATGGTATAGGGTTCACCCCAAGGTCCCTTCTAAGTATTATTCTAACACCTTTCCCAGGATTTCTACTCAGAGTTTGGCATCCTCAGTTTTCTTGCCTGAGTTGGGGGTTGGACTAGAAGACCTCCAAGGTCCCTTTCAACTCTTGTTAAACACATGTGTATTTTATGCTTTGGACTATTGACATTGAATGCATGTAAACCCTGAAAAATATGTGGTAGCCCCGGGCAAAAGAAAGGCAGAAAAATCACCCTAGGTGTAGGGACAGTGTAAAATATTAACACATGATAAATAATGGAACAATTAAAAATAATAGCACAGAGTTTTATCTCTCTTTTCCTATTTTTTTGTTTCTTTCTCTACCTTCCTCTTTCTTTCTCTCTCTCTCTCTCTCTCTCTCTCTCTCTCTCTCTCTCTCTCTCTCTCTCACACACACACACACACACACACACACACACACAGCACTTAACAGACAAGCAGCCTGAATGTAACTCCTTTGCTTACTTGGTTTTTTCTATTACAAAATAACAAGGATAACAGAGAAGGAGGTACCTAATAGGATTAGAGATAAAGAGAGATTAATCTATAAATAACTACCAATTAACAATACCATTAGCTGTATGTTAAATTTGTCAATTTAATATTGTGTTCTATATCTTATATCTTTGTATCCAAGCATTTTGGCTATCTTCCTTTTTAACATTTGTTTTCATTAGTATGTTTCTCAGGCTTGACTGAATGACAGCTTTAGGGAATTCTCCAGGATGAGAAAGTTTCTGCTTGTCTCAGTAGCTCAACCAGAGCTTGCTATCTTCAGGAGAGCAGCTTCTAAATAAGATGTTTCTCAGTCTTCCACCAATTTGTAGATAAAGTATTGATTCTACTTTTAAAAGTTATTGGCATATGGGAAGATTATGCATATCAATTTAGCCTTCATTTTAATTAATCCAGTGATATTTTAAGAATTGAGTAACCTTTCGTTTCTATAGATTCTGTAAGATTTAGACTCTACAACCAGCTTTCCCCTTTTAAGCCCTTTGTTATAGGCCAATAAACTGGCATTTAACTCAACCAGAACTGTTTATATTTGGTGTTTGATTTCAAATGTGAGAGCCTTATGTAGTATATTAGAAAAACTGTCATATTTTTCCATTAGTTCCTAGAGTTGGGCTAACAATAATTTATATTTAACCATTCTGACTTCAGTTCTCTTTTAAATTCCCATTTGCCCCAAATGTCTATCAAAGTATCTCACCTCTCCTTTACTAATATTTGGTATGTGAAGGGCAAATTTTCTCTTGCCTATGAACAGGAACTTTTTTTCTTTTCTTTTGGTACATGAACTACCTTCTCCCACAATATTATTTGTATTTCTCTCTCAGAAAAATAAGCAGATTGTATTATTAGTAACAATAATTTAAGCACATCAGGAAATGAGATTAAGAAAATTCAATTTAGCTTGTTCAAGGATATGTATATTCTTCCTCTGAGGATACTTCGCAGCACAAATACTGTGCATAAATGCATGTTTCAAGAGACAGAGAGAACTTTTATAAAGTCAAAATGCCCAAAGTTCTAAGCAAAAACTAACCTGAGATCAGGGCTTATGGGGTTCATATGATCAAACCCCTCATTAGTACAGGAGGACAAATTTTAATATTTGTTGCAATTCAGTCAACTGTATTGGAAACTGCATTCTTCTACAGTAACTAATATTGTCAAGGTGGATAATTGCAATATAAATAAGAAGAGCTTCCTAAAGTGGGCAAAATGTCAACACTACAAAGTAATATAAATGTACAAAATATCCTGTAATGCATAGTATGCGTTGGTAAATTTACCTTTCTATCTATGCTGCTAGAGAGCCCAGGATGGGTATGACTCCTCCCTGACAAGGAAACCTGGTGAAAAATCTGTTTACTTGAGCGTTTTGGGGAGAGGCGAAGAGGTCTACCTCCGGGGTCCCGAACCTGAGGGAAAAATCCCTGAAAATGGGACTGGGGAAGGGACCATTCTGCGTGGCTGACCTGGCTCCTGCTCAGCCAATCAGCCTGGGAGTTGTCAACTCCCGAGATGTGGTCTGCTGTGATAGACAGAAGATGTCTCTCTGCCCACCTCCCCAACCTTTCGGCTTTCCTCATGAGGGCCCTGGACCTTGTGCCCCCCTGCCAGTTGATGTGTGCCTTTGCAGCCATGTTGTCTGTCAACAGGCACATGGGACCCCACTATCCTGTCCCTGAAATGTTTCAGGGCTAGATAAATGGTTCTGAGTTCTAGCCAGGGAGTTCTAGCCAAAGGACCAGATCCCTTGAGCCATGAGACCCTCCATGTGGGCTCCCCAACCCAGGAGACTTGCATCAGATCAGTCTGTCCAGTTCTTTGAACGGGAGACCCTTCAAAAGGGCTGAGGAAAGCCACCACTTGAAGGAACGGTGAACCTCTGGAGAGAGCAGGACCTTGGCAGATGTGTGGCTGGTTCCTGCTTGTTAAAAGGGGAGCAGGAACCATTGCAGAGCCCGTGAGTGTAGCCATGCCCACGGAACGATGCCTATGCATAAAATCATTTTGCCCAAAAGTTTGGACAACAGTGACAGGGAGACAGTGTGTTGACGTTGGACCTGTCGAGTGATCTTGATAAGACTCTGCCCTCGGGCTGGAGACAGAAAAACTTGGCACAGAGTTGTGTTGATGATGGCTCCAAGATGGAGCAATCTGGATGTTGGGAAGAGATGGCTTTTCTTGGAGTTAATGGAAAAACCGTGGTACTGGAGGCAATGGAGAGTGGTTTGAAGATCTTGATGGGCAGAGTGAGTGGAGGACGACAGGATCAAGATGTCATCCAAGTAGCATTGAATCCTCACTGGAACAGACCGGAGCGAAGCCACCAATGCAGCCAGTAACTTTGTGAAGACTCTTGGGACAGACGAGAGCCCGAAAGGAAGGGCCCGATACTGGAAGTGGGAATTCTGGTAACAGAAACGGAGAAACTGGCAACGATGAGGCCCGATGAGAATGTGGAGGTAAGCCTCCGTGAGATCAATGGAAGAGAGGAGATCGCCCTCCCGAACGCTCTCCAGAATAGAATGCAGAGTCTGCATTTTGAAGTGCCTATATGGGATAAACTCATTCAGAAATTTTAGGTCGAGAATAGCTCGCCCCCCCCCAAGGCCTTAGGGACCACGAAAAGCCAAGAATAAAGCCCATGTCCACGTAATTCAGGGACTGGTTGAATGGCCCTTATATTGACCAGATGACTAATGGCTGATTCCATAAGTGCCCTTCGTGAACTGTCCTGGGAAACAGGGCAGAGTAGAAATTTTTCTGGGGGTGGTGATAGAAATTCTAATTGTAACCCCGACCTTACTGTATTGAGTACCCAGGCGTCTGTCGTTAACTCCTCCCATCTGGAAGCAAAGGAGGCCAAATGACCTCCAATGGGAGGGGAGAACAAGAGATTATTTAGAGCGACAGAAGGAGTGACCCCATTCTCCACGAAAGGGCCGTTTACCCACAGCTTGTTGTCTGCCGGTAGCCTCATGGCGTTGATCTTGATGCTGAGAATACGCTCTCTGAGGTCTGGAGAAGCAAGAAGTGTTTTCAGGCCTGAATGAGGGAGGCTGGTATGAGGTAGGGCAGAAGTCTGCCCTCTTTCCTGTTGATGAAAGGACTTTCCCTTTGTCTTTTGTTTCAACAACAAATGGATCAAGGGCATCTCCAAACAGCTTCTCACTGGTACATGGGGCAGAAGCTAGTTTCCACTTTCATTGAGACTCCACTTGCCAATTTTGTAGCCATAGCAGTCTCCTAGCTGCCACTGATGACGCCATGGCCCTGGAAGAAAACTTGGCAGCGTTGAGGGTGGCGTCCGCCAAGAATTCTGCTGCTACTATGATTTTATAGAGGTCTTGATGTGACCTACAGTCTGATGGAGGTATGCGGCCTTGAAGCTGGCATAGCCAGTGGATGGAAGACCTTGTAAAAAATGATGCAGCAGTTGAGGCCTGGATAGCCCAAGCCAAGGCTTGATGGTTATACTTCAGTGTTTGTTTGGAGCGTTTGTACTCTGCCCGAACGGCAAAATCAGCAATAAAGTGAAAATTGCTGAGAGGCGCTAATATCGCTGATGCAATCTTTATGATCGTGGTGGCCGAAATTGCTAAGGGAAGACTGTGGGGGAGGAATAAGGATTACTCCCTACTTACAGCCTCTCTCGGTTGAATCCTCAGCATTTCAGGAGAGTGGAGCCCCACTCTCCTGAAGGCACAGCTACACCAGTTCCCCAGGAACTATGCCAATGATGAAGATCGCTTTCACTTTTGCTGCTAACTAAACTGCTTTCAGAGACACCAGCTATGGTCATCGAAAGAAGCTGAGTCAAAGCTGGGGGGTTTCTCCCACAGGCTGCTACTTTTATACTAGATGGACCCAGCTTGATTATGTCATCAGGAGGAGTCATACCCATCCTGGGCTCTTGCAGCAGCATGGAAGAGAAAGGGCCACCGCTCCCTTAATAATCCCATAAATATACCAACTAAACTAATTACAACCACTCAAGCAACAATTTATATTAAGAAAGTTCCCAAAAATCAGCTGTGTTACACAATTGTAAAAAAAATAAAAGATGAGGCATGAAAGCCAGCTTGGGTCCATTGACCTCTCAGTCCAACCCACCTTACAAAGTTTGTGGGAAATATCAGAAGGAAGGAATATGAGGTATGCTTTCCATTTTAGAATAAAAATCAAATAAATACATAAATATCATTCCAGCTGAATAAAAGAACACTGATGGTGTCATTGCACAGCTGTATAATTTTGGAATACTGAATGCTGTTGACATCACCCATTGCAAGAAATACATGGAAGCTGGTAAATGGTGAATACCAATACGTATGCTATTTTCCCCAAAAAGTTATGATTGGATTAGGAGGCAGGGAACACCTCAAATAATGCAGGGCCATTTTGCTTTTTAAAACAGAGAAATGAAATTATCTTCTTCCTTATACCTCCAAACTACAAAACAATGTTTTAAAATGATGCTATAATCCTGAAGGCATTCTCAATTTCTGAAATCATGCCACTACATAGATACTTTATTGTTTGATTCCTTTTGGAAATAAATTATAGCCTCTGAATTATTAAAAAGAAAACCTCAAGAGCACATAAATGATCTTGATTTTCACACATTAGCAAGCTTTAAACTCGACACCTTCCAACAACGTATTGATTGTTCCCTAGAGGAAAAGATGGAATGAAGAGGCATAAAAATTTCCAGAAAATGATTAAAAATAAATAAGTGAACTTGGTTTGATTTGTTTAGAAACAATCAGATTTAGTATTTTAATTTAGATTGAAATGAAGTACAGCACTTTACAAAAGCGATGATTAGTTAATGGTATTAAAGGCTTTTACCAGAGCAACCTAGAGAAGACATTATTGTCTGCAATGAATCTTAGACAGAGCGCTGGTGTTTCCAATGTAATTAAAGATTACTTTGAGGTTAATGCTTCACAGTGTTAATTTCCCAAACAAGACTTTCAAATAAACACTCTCAAGAAGTTCATGCCATAACTCTACACTTCGATTTCTGAAACATTAGGGCATGAACATTTCAAATCGAAATTTAAAAACAACATGCCCAAAGAAACTTTGAAAAATTATTTGCACAGTTCTTCAGATCCCAGCTTCAAATGCTAAAGAAATGAAAATACAGAAGGTTTTTGTTTTTTTTAAGTATGATGATATTCTACTTTATTTAATCCCATAAGATTATCTTCACTCGATTAAAGAACATCACATTTATCTGGGAGATATATGCTCCCTGACTGGCAACTGTTTATTTAATCGGTAGCTATCTTAGTTTGACGCTTTTTAATTTGCAGGTTCTAGAATCCTATAAACCAAGCCCCTAAATTGGTACTTTCTTTCCAAAATGCTGAAGAGTTAAGACCGTGGAAAGTATTGAGAAGAGAGGCTTTGCAAAATGTTGGAGTGCATACAAAGTACCTCTCTTTGAATTGCGAAAGCAACATATTTTGCAAGGCTCACATAACTGCCTCAGAAGCTGCACCTGGCTGTCTCTCTGTGTGTACCGGTCTAAGTACTTCCTTTGGATGCTTTTCAGGTCTTCCTAAAGAGTCCTATACTCACTTTTGCATTTAGTTCAGGCAGCTACTCACAGAGTTTTCTTGAAAAAATGCCTCCATCATATTCAGACTCATAATGGCTTACAACTACATTGGCTTTAGAAAACATTCGGCTTCTCTCTGTTTAGCATAAATTTTCCATGAGAAGAAGAAATGCATTTTGAAATGCTTGGTTTTTTCCACAGCAAAAACAAGAAGAAAATAAACTGCTAGGAATTATTTAAAGCTTAATCTTCTCCACTGGGTTGAGTGTATCCTTCACATTTAATATTTTTTACAAAAATATGACTTTTGTAAAGAATAGGAAATTTATATTTGTGATTCTAAATATGGACCTCTGAATTGGAATCAGAATTTCCCCTTCTTTTCCAATAACCATCTTTAACATAATATGGAAGTAAAAAGGGGAAAACATTGTTAGCTAGCTAGCTCATAGTATGTAAAATCCAAGACCCCTAGATAAAAAATCTAGCAATTTAATACTTTTAAGACCGGGTGGGTAAAAAGGGAAATCACCAAAAGAATTCAAGACAAGTTCTTAAAGGTGAAAAAAACATTTTCCAGAACTGATGGAAGTATTACAAGGTTTAGAAAAATATCCCAATTTAAGATAGACTTTTCCTTCCCTGCTTGCAGGCTCTGCCATCCCATTCCATCAGATTGGCTGGTTCTACAGACATAACCTTTTCAAGTGGTAACCTGAAGGAAGTAATTTATGGCTCCATCTTTGGCTAGTCTTAAATGTAGCTGAAAATTGGTTTCATTCAGTGATTTACTGATGAAGTTTTAGTGGTCTTTTAGACTACTGCTTTTTTTTTTTTAATATACTGTAGATCGTTTTATATTAACTATCTGAATCACATGGGGAGGGGGTTTCTGGAGAAACAATATTCATAATTAAGATGTTATCGTTATAGTTTAAAAACAGGAAAAAAAACATACTCAACCTATTATTTGTACGAAGCCCCACGTGTAAGTAAGAATAGTAATCCAAATACTTTTCTATCTAACAATAGTCACAAGTACTAAAAAACTGAATCAGAAGTATATGTTTGTTTACTAACCAAGGAGAGAAACGACCTAGAACTAAGGAGAAATCTCCTACTGGTAAGAGCAATCAACCAATGGAACAACTTGCCTTCAGAAGTTGTGGGTGGCTCCATCACTGGAGGCTTCCAAAAAGAGACTGGACAATTGTTTATCTGAAATGGTATAGGGTCTCCTGCTCAAGTAGGGGACTAGAAGACCTCCAAGGTCCCTTCCAACTCTATTATTCTATGCTCTATGCTTTTTACCCTACCTATCAGCTGAACACTGTTAGAAAAGATACCGCCCATCGTCATTCATGGAAACAAAAATAGGAGAGTAAAAGTAATCTTCCACTTAGGAGCAAAATTGGGATCAGAATTTCCTTTGCTAAGCAAGGTGGTACTTACGTGAGTTGTGCCTGATTTTATGATCTTTTTTACCACAGTTGCCACAAATCACACAGTTTAGTGAATCCAGTTTCTCTCACTGACTCCTCTTGTCAGATCCGATCACCTTGGGACGCTGCAACTGTCAAAAATACATGCAGTGGTCAAGTGCCCTAATTTTGATCACGTGACCACGGGGAAGTTGTAATAGTCATAATGGCAAGGGCTGGATATAAGTCTCTCTTTTCAGTATCATTTTAAGTACGAATGGATGTCACTAAACAAATGGATGTTAAGTCAAGGACTACCGGTAACTTTTCACTTCCTGTTTGTCAACTCACAGGGGTATCCGTTGGCCCTTGTGAGAAACAAAATACTGGACCAAGATGAGACATAGTCTGATCCAAGTGGTTGTTCTTATAGGCATGCTAAAAAGAAATAAGAGATTATTGTTAGGATTCCGGTGATTGCCCTAATTAAATCATTCGCCTCGAGCCAAGCTTCAAAAAAATTCAAAAGATTTATTAGGAGCAACATGCTAGCATTAACCTAAATGTAACAAACTCTGTCATACATAATTTACAATCACCTGTGACCCTGTTTGCCCTCTCCTCCCTGGGTGTATCATAAATCAGATCCTCCAATGAAGGATTTTATGGGCAGAAGATGCAGTAGCCTAGCTGCAATCTTTGTAGATAAGGGTGGAATGTACTTCTGGTTTTAAACTGCCATAATGCTTCTTCAGATCCCACCCCCCTTGTTTATGGCAACTCAAAAACAGGCATATGAATGTTTTATGAGTTGACAATTATATTTATGGAACCTAGTATATCATAAAGAAGAGTCTTTATATCATCTAAACGAAGTGAGAAACTTACAGAGGGAAGACTTCTCATTAGTTTGTGATTGTGAGTCAACAATTATTATCTGACCACCCCACCTGCTTGCTCAAGTTCTCTAGAAGGAATTGAGGGGAGGATTAAAAAGGGATGATTTCTTAATTTTATTTTTATTACCTTACTCATTGGAAAGTGAGGTAGACACATTCTCCCAAAGGGACATATAGCAAACTTGTAATGAAAAAGGGTCAACAGTAACTATAAATCTTAGCCAAAATTATGACACTAATAGCCAAATAAGTGTGTGTGTTTGTATATGTATATCTCTGATAATATAATTCTCAATGATTAATTAGTACAGATCTAGTGAAATGTGTATTCCAACAAGACTGTAAGCTGCCTTCACAAATTCCATAAGATATTAGTGGAAATAGAGTTGGGAAATACAATTCACACACTATAACAATATCCTAAAAAGGTCACATCAACATTGAAGACATCTGGCACCAACTAATCCTTGCCAATATTCCCAAATGAGGACATCTAATAAACAAAAATCCAAATGCTGCAGTGATGACTTGTAGATGATAGTGTCATCTACACACTGTTTAAAAAAACCCTGGTACTTTCCTGGAGATTTTACAGCAGAAACTTTGTATTTGCTCATTGTGTCTATGTGTTTAGGTATATGTACATCTTCCTTTCCTTTCCTTTCTCCTTTCTTTTCCTTTCCTCTACTTTATGTCCCCTACTATGCTATTAACACCCAGTATTAATTTGAGGCTAGAATTAATGTGTACACAAAAGTTCAAGATGATCTGAATCAATCCTGTAGACTAAAAAATTAGAATGTCAATGTTTCTACAGTTTTGGGAAATTGTACCAGGATATCTGAGCAAAGGTGCTAGTTGCTTACTCCTAAGTGAACTACTGGATTCAATTAAACAGTCTTCAAAATGTTGACTTTCCACTGAAAGTGCCATAGTAAACCAGTCTAGGTAGCTTCAAGATCTAATAGCGATGTGGTTTTATTAGCATATTCCCAAGAAAATCACATCCATGTATTGATCAGATGCCAAACTGGACCTAAGAGTACTTTTTAGCACACATAATAATAAAATGCTAATGTCTTCTGCATTATAGGGAAGAAAAATCAACGCTGCTGTTTGGAAATGAAGTATAATAGTTGTCCAGGTTAAACTGCTGAGTCTTAGAGTCAGACTAAGGGATTATTGAATTAGCAAATTTCTTCCACTATAAAACTAAAACAAATACTATAGATCCTTTAAACTTGCTCCCATTAAGTAATATTGTATAAGTTGTGACAAGTATGAAACAACAAAAGATTGAGGCTTGCATATTATTTATTTCCATGTTTTATTGGCTAGTTCCAAAAATCAACAATTTCTAGTCATACTACATTTTGTTTTTCTATTTTTATTATTTTATTTTAGAAAATTTATTTTGCTGCCTACTCACACATGGTGACTCAAGGCGGCTTAAACAAATATAAAACATCATATAAAAAGAAAAAAGAAAACAATATAATTTATAATCTGATTTGTTACCTTGTTTTAAGCAAACCACAATTTCTATATTCAAATAACTGGAACACTGCAATTTAAATAAGCAACCAATGGACATATCTCCTCACCAGATTAAAAGAGGGGGGACACTATATTTCAAAAAACCACTACAAATATCCTACAGATACACATCTTTCCAAAACACAATTAGCAGTTAGCAAGTAAATAAAGTAAAGCTGAAACTTAATGAAATTTAAATATATTGATTTTACAAAAGAAAAGAAAATCTTCATTTTATATTAGTTCCACATAATGTTCAGTAATTCAAGACAATCAGCTATTTGATTATATTTACTTGAAATCTGTTATCTATAAACATTAATCAAATCTTTATAATAATATACATATTTTAATATTGGATTTACTTTATTACTGTTTTGTTATCCAATTATCTTATTAAAATAATGTGTACAATTGGCTAATTTATTATTATAAAAAGCCCTCAGTTTCATGCAGCTTCTCTTTTTTGAAGCTTCTTTTGCGGGGTGGGAGGTTCATTTTAAATTAATCTTCTTAATAGCTCTTTTTAACTACAAGTATAAATCGTGGTGCTTAGTATAAATCTATGAATCTCTTCTCTATAATTTTATTCCATATTCACTTATATTGCATAGGGAATTTCATGATATTATAAGAAGAGCAAGAACAGCTATTCTTGTAAACTATTAATTATCCAAACTTTAACTGTTCCCAAAGCTTCAAGATTTCCTTTTTTTCTTCTTTGTATAAAAATTATCTTTTACTGCACTTCCAGTAGTTTCTCTTTTTTATTAAATACAGCAGTTTTTAAATCTTGGTTAGATTAACTTTTTGACACATTGAGATGTATAGTGCTTCAGTAGCTGAAATAATTCTATTTTACATATTTCAGGGAAACATTTTTCTTTTCCTCACATACCAATAATTCGGACCATAACATAATTTTTCAGGCAATCATTCATACACTGTAGCTTCGGTTTCAATTTGGGACACTGAAAGATAAGATTCAAGGTCTCTGACTACCTACAAATAATTTAATGGTACTCTAGCATTTTCAAAAGCAAGAAATATTACGAAAAAAATAAAGCTTTTGAGATATGATAAATAATTTGGCTTTCTAAGTTTCAAACATACTACATAACATCTTAAGGAGAGTCTATTTTAGTAGATTTCATATGAGAAGGTATTTAGACAAATCTAAAAACAAAAACATAGAATTAATAGATTCTTAGGTCTTCAACCCCAGTAACCTCAGGAGTGTTATGAAATTATCAGCGATTACTGAAAAAGGAAAGATGTGAAAATCTATTAACCATAAAAAAGTGTTTCTATTATATTAGGAAAAGAAGAGCATAGATACATTACAGGTATTCCTCAACTTAATTGTTCATTTATCAGCCCTTCAAAGTTACCATGGTGCTGAAAAATGACACAATCAGACACTGCATTTAAGATCATCAGTCTTATGGTCAAAATTTGGGTGCTTGGTAACTGACATTTACAATGATTGTTGTGCGGGGTGTGGGTATGCGTCACATGAGCACCATTTGCAATCTTCTTAGTGGTGTTCCAATAAGCAAAGTCAATGCAGAAAGCCAGATTCATTTACTGCCCACATGGTTTACTTAACAACTACAGCAATTCACTTAATGGCCATAGCAATAAAGATCATAAAATCGAGACAGACTTGGTGATCATTTAATAACAGAAATTTCAGTCCCAATTATGGATTTAAATCGAGGACTACCTGCAGTTAAAATTACAATAATTTTGGTCTTCTATAAACACCAATATGCTCCAAATTTACTGATAAGGAGAAGGCACCATACATGTTTCTATTTCAGCTCCTTTGTGGCTAGTCTTTTGCAGACAAAAGGCTTCCCATCTTAAAGGAATCCTATATACCATGGTATGTGTTATAGCAAGCCTAACCTGTAACATATAAAGCCACCTTTAAGCCACCTGTGGCTGATTCAAAATTCTTCAATGTCAAATACTACTCTCATTAGTGTTAAAACATCTCAAGATGAGGTTATGGTTAAGAAAGAAGAAAATTTATCTGAAAGGTTACTTTTCATTTTTATTATTTTACAAAGAAGTAGTTCGTACTGTATCAGGGCCCTGGGAAATTCTATCCTATCAATGCGCAGCTTTATAGATTATATTCTGGGTACCATAGTCTGATTAATTCCCTATAATATGGCACCAGCAACATTTGAAGACAACTAACAGTCCAATTTACATAGTTATGTTAAAGTTAATTAATTGTTAAAAGAGTGATGCAGTGTCTACCTATTTCTCTTGGGAATAGCTCAGTCACTTAATGATACATTTTTAAGTGGTTTGAATACCTATTTGGTGACCTTATTTGGTGTTTTCAGGCAGCTAGTGTGGGTTAAACAATCTTCAGTTACAAGTATACTACAATCCAATGCTCATTTGAAAAGCACATTAAATCAATCTGCATCAGATTGCAACCAAATCAACCTCCCAAAAATAATGTCCTTCAAGCAAATTGGTCTTTAACTTCCATTATTGCCTGCTAGCATATTTTTTTGCCTATGATTGCTACAGTCCTACACAGGCAGTCTCCAGATCAAGAACATCTGATATATGGACTACCTATGCTTACAACAGGCTGTCTATTACTAAAAAGGGCAGACAGTATTGTCCTTCCTTGAGCTGATGAAGCTGCACAATGTTTTTATAACCTGCTGAATTGTATACTTGTAAAGGTAACATGCAGCTTGTTGCCAAACAAATGTTGCCAACAGTTCATGAAAATATTGCATGGTTTCTGAGGTTCACTGCTCAAGAAGGATCATCATCTGCCATTTTCAGTACAGGTAGTTCTCAACTTACGGCCATAACGGAGCCTGCCCTTTCATGATCATAACTCGTGATAGCCATCAATTGGGTCACTCACATGACCAATCCAATTTTATGACCATTTCTGTGGTAGTCATTAAGCTTGTCATGGCTATTAAGTAGATGCTGCAGTCATTAGGTCAACCAATGGTTCATTATGGGACAGTTATGA